GTCACTTAGGTTCATTGCAGTAAATAGGACTACTCGTCTGTTCCCCATCTATATTCATTCCCTGCTGAGGTTTATTATCTTCATGGCACTGGGAGAGAGGAGAGACCTTGTTTACTGCAGACGTCTCATATCTTTCTTAAATATGGATGGAAATTAGCTTGGGGCCTGGCTCTCCAGAACCACTTTTGTCTCATTGTCATATTGGATTTTTTGCTTTTGTTAGGATTGATGGCACTTGGACTCCATATCTTGTCGGAGTAAAACCTCTCGTGCTGCCTCTGTAACGGTTGGGTGCTGTCATTTCTCCCTTCAATCTCCCTCTGCTCCTTATATTCCAGAGTAATAGAATATGTTCTCAATCACAGCTTGAAAAATCACCCCATCTGTTTCTGTCTCTCTCTTCGGTAGCCTTCTATAGGTGAACTGCAGTACATATCAAAGCGAATCGTTCTGTGATCCGTCTTGGTCTTTTCATGTTTCTCACCTCAACAGGCATCTTCAAGAGCACCTGCTACATCGATGTGCGCTGGTTCCCGTTTGATGTCCAGAGATGTGACCTGAAGTTTGGCTCCTGGACGTATGGGGGCTGGTCTCTGGACTTAAAGATGATAGAGGCAGACATCACCGGCTACATCGCCAACGGAGAGTGGGATCTTGTCGGTAAGAGTGTTCAGTGGCCTGCGAAGTGCAGAGGATTGTGCATCACAAATGTTATTATTGCTCTATGTCACTGAAATGATCATTTCTACATATCATTTTATGCTCTGTTTTGTGTTTTGTTTTGTCTCACAGAGGTTCCAGGACAGGTGAACCAGCGTTCCTACGAGTGCTGTGAGGAGCCGTACCCTGACATCACCTACACCGTGGTGATGCGGAGACGGACCCTCTACTACGGCCTCAACCTGCTCATCCCGTGTGTCCTCATCTCCACTCTGGCCCTGCTCGTCTTCCTTCTGCCCGCCGACTCTGGGGAGAAGATCTCACTGGGTAAGAAATACACACACACTTTTGCTTGCTTGTCTGGCCCTGCTTCATTACAGACATGAATATTAGTGCCCTCACTATTGTTAGAGCTGAAATACTGTAGTCATATTAAAGGTCCAATTTGTAACATTTAGGAGGGTCTATGAGCAGAAATGTATATAATAATAATAATATATAATTTCACTCATTAGTGTGTAATGACCTGAAAAGTCAAGCAAGCAAGGGAATAAAATATATAGTATAAAAGAAAACAAGTATTAAAAAGTATAACTAGAAGACTGTAGACGAGGTACTTTTTCCAGTTCCAGTCTCCTTTGATCTAATTCATAAAAAAATAAGAATATCACTGTAAGATTTTTTTACGTTCAGTACAGAAAAACCTCCAATCCAAAGTAGAGATGTATTCCTTTCTGTTGTCCCACCTCTATGTCCCTTGGCTGCTGCTGTGGAGCACTGTTATACATTTATAGTCCATATGAATCAGAAAAAGCTCTTTAGACATTTTTTTTACCAGCCCTATAAGAGGATTTCAGTTGTAAACTGAAAAGTTTGGCTGACTGCCTTTTCTGGACCTCAGTGACCTGCACTTCTCATTCAAAATTTAATCACTACGCACTTACACATACATGCACACCATACTCCTCCCTGATGGTAACATCATTTTCCAATTATATAATGTCTAGGTGCATGGATATATTGTACAGTACAGTGTGTTGTAATGTCACATTAAAATACCTACAGATGTTTTTTAATGTCCTCCTGCCATGTTGACTTGACTGTGATCTATGGAAAACAACTGTGTGCTGTTCAAAGAACACAACTGTAAACTAACTAAGATCATTAAAAACTTAAATCTTTTACATCTGTAGTGGTTTTGACACGGAGCCAACCATTTCTATTATTCTTCAATTTTTCATCATCTACTATGAATTTAAATCCTAGTCCATTTCTTTCGTGGGTAATGACTTATTAATCCACTTCCTCTGTCGCCTTCTGAAGCAATCTGATAATCGGAACTGAGAGACTGACTTAACTGTCAGTGGACCGAGAAAACTGTTTAATCTTATCTCCGTTGTCACAGTTGACTTGAATGTTTGAGCCCATTTCATGCATAAATTACACAAACTTGATGTAGAGAGCGTCTGCTGCTGGGTGGCGGTGGAAGTATGTGTGTGTTTACTGTGTGTGGGAGTGGGTGGGCAAAGTGGAGGCGTTGATTTATGCAGTTTTGTCCCTTCCGGAAATCATTAGAGTCCTGCAGCTGGATTCCTTCCTCAAGAGTACTGCGTTGCAGCTGGATTCCTCATTAACCATGCTATAGAGCCAGATGTGTGAGCTTATGTGTGTGTGCTTCTTTCTATTTGTGTACATTCCTTCTGATGTTCTCATAGCTCATAGACGTGAGGAAGTGAGAAATGAGAATTGCTTACGTGTAATATAATATGCTGCTATGTAGATCTCAATGCTGCTCATCACAAAATGTTTATGACATATTGTGATTCACAGCACACATTCATCATACATCATGAGTTATAGTCCCTACTATTCCCTACTACACTGTGTGTGTGTGTGTGTGTGTGTGTGTGTGTGTGAAACAGATCTACTGCATATGGAGTCAGTATATCACCCAGCCACTCGTTGACTTTATCATTTGAGAATGGTGAACACTCATTGAGAAATGAAAGTGTTTTCATGGCAGCATTCATTCCCATATTTAATTTCAGTCACACTGGGCTGTCATGAGAATTATTATTTGTAAAATACACAAATGGATCAACAGGTATTTTATAGTTTGTGAATCTTTACTCTCAAAGTCTCTGCATTTTGCATTCAGTGCTGTGAAGAGTTGCCTATATAAGATTCATCAGCAATACTGAGTTCATTTTTTAAGGGTCCATATCACAAGGCAAAAACACATTTTCCAGTGAGGTATCTAGCTATGTATGTATTTTATTTGCAGGAGCTTTAAAACCTTTGTGATGTATGCCTGCATCACTGTACAATAAAGAAATAACCACCCATAGTCATTTGAAATGTTCCTCCTTGACCCACCCATATAAGAAACAACAGCAGCAGTATCATGACAACATAAAGCAGCTGGTAAGTGTTTTTCAGTCGTTAAATGTATATCAGCGTGCCTGAAGATGTGACTCTTAATCCTGCTGAGAGGTTCAGTCTTTGAGTAAGACGGCAAGAGCTTGGGGCTTAACCATGTCAGCTCATTAATGAAAACTGTAATGTCTGCTCACAGGTATTTTAAAGATGTTTGTCTTTCTCTGCTTGTACCCTCTTAGGTGATGTAGTGAGTGACTGTGGCACATTATAAGCTTCAACGGCTTTGCAATTCAGATTTTGGGGGATTTTCCTTCACGTTCGACTACAGCTCAGCACCACATTGTGGAAGAAAATTTTAAACAAGGCAAAATTAGCATAAGAATAAGGTGTCACAAATGCATGGAGGATTGTACACTAAGTAGGAACAAAACGTGCACAGCAGAAAGGAACTGAGTACAATGCAGCTGAAACCTAAAGCAATGCCTTTTCATAATGCTAAAAATCTGGGAATAGCCTACATTTTTTTGCATATTATTACACAATATTCTTTAAGGATGGAAATGTGTGTTTCACTGTATGTTTTCATCATCCATTCAACATCCAATTTATGTTACTCCTGCCAGATTTCAACATCAAAGAATCGTTGGTGGCCTGTCACAACTGTGTGATTTCAATACTTTTCATTGCACTTTAGTTTTGTTGTCAAGCGCTAACTGAGATTTGGTCTCTTTCCCAGGCATTACCGTCCTGCTCTCCCTGACTGTCTTTATGCTGCTGGTTGCAGAGATTATGCCCGCCACATCAGACTCGGTGCCTTTAATAGGTAAGCCAGGGCTAAAGTTAAAAGCAGTCGCTATGGGTGTCAACTACCATCAGTGGGCAAGCGAGGGTGAAAATGTGTGTCGTCATTTTTCATCAGTGGTTGTCTTATATCACAGTGTAACTAAGTTTAAGCAGCCATCCAGTATTAAGATTCTTTTATTTAGAGATTTGATCCGAGACATATAAAGTGAGTCATTTGTTTGAGGCAAGAGGGCAGTTTTGTTTTCTTGGACTGTGAGTTTTACCTTTTCCTTATACTGAAACATTTTTATTGTTATCCATTGTTGTTTGTTGTCCATTTTTAATGTCTCCTCTATTTCTCCTTTACCCAGCTCAGTACTTTGCCACTACCATGGTCATTGTTGGTCTCTCAGTAATTGCTACAGTTCTAGTCTTACAATATCACCACCATGACCCTGATGGAAGCAAGATGCCGAAGTGGGTAAGTGCCGTTTCATATTTAACCATTATCTGTGACTTAGACTATATTCCTATTACCATCACTTAATTTGCCTTGAGCCATGCCCCCTAATTATTATATTATGATAAACTGTAGACATCCTGCTTTTGTTGTTTTTTATTAAGTTAGAGTCCATTTTCCTTCACTTACAGTACTTTATCAAGAATAATATGCATTTGCTTGTGTAGTGCTGTGTGCCCACCAGCTATCTTTAACAGACAGAAATGTAATGAGAGGTCCTCCACTGGAAAATTGCTTGGTGTTGAAATATGCTAGCCACACAAACATTTACCAGGAGGATTCAGTGGAGCAATGCTGATTTGACTTTTGAAGAAGTAAAAGTTCTTGTGGTAACCCAAACAAACTGGCTGTATGTTCTTTGGTGGATTTGTCTTACATTTAATTTCATGTTTTAAAAGTTTGATTTAAAGTGAATAAGAGCCTTTTTGATTTATTTCTTATTATCTGATCCCAAAGACCCGTGTGTTCCTGCTGAACTGGTGTGCCTGGTTCCTGCGCATGAAGCGCCCAGGTGAGGACCGAGTGCGTTCAGCTTGTCAAAACAAGGCTCCACGGACCAGCCTGACCAGCATGGAGCTCAGTGGTAGCGCCTCAGCCCCCCAATCCACAAACGGAAACATGCTTTATGTTGGCATCCATGGTCTGGAGAGCATTCACTCCACAGCTGCCACCTCGCCTGACTCCGGGGTCCTCTGTGGACGACTGGTCGCACGAGCAGGTGAGGAAGAGATGCTCCTCCCCACGGGTCACAGCTCCTCAGTGGGCAACGTGGAACCAGACCTGACCAAGATCCTGGAGGAGCTGCGCTACATTGCCAGACGCTTCCGCAACCAAGACGAGGACGAGTCTGTGTGCAATGAGTGGAAATTTGCTGCATCTGTTATCGACAGGCTCTGTCTCATGGCTTTCTCCGTCTTCACTATCCTCTGCACCATTGGGATCCTCATGTCAGCACCCAACTTTGTAGAGGCCATTTCCAAAGACTTTTTTACTTAAGACTTTATCATGAAATAAATGTTTCAGCTAAATTTGGTAAGTCATGGTGTGGCAATTTGTATACAGTTAAGTCTCCTAGTATGAGACTTGTATATCAACAAATATTAATAATACTTAAATTTAGGCAAAATGTAGGCTATGTGACGCATAAATAGTTTAGTTTATGTGTTACATGATGGTGGTAAAAAATACCAGCTTTTGCTTTTTATATGAGATAAACTAATGACATACTAAAGGAAAACATCTAAATGTATCCCTTGTACTGTTTTAAAATTACTAATACTACAATGCAGGGCTGCCCAAAGTGGGGCAGGGATACATAACTTTTACGCTGTTTTGTTTTTTGTATTTAAATATGTAAGATCACAAATTATTTTGCATAATCTTGAGCATGGTGAGCAGAGTGACACTGCAGTGTTTGCTTTTGGCTCACAGCCCACCGTTAAGTTTCTGTTTTGGCCCTCCAAAGAAAAAAACAGAAAAGAGCACTCCTGCTGCAAAGCATTGTAACTGTGGTTTGTTATGTGATGTTACCTGTGTATTATTGTATTGTATATATTAGATAATCCTCACTAAACTCTATTGTTCCATTTACAAAACATTATGGCTGCAGTGACTTGTATTGAAATGTCTTTGTTATATCGGATTGAATGTTAAATTGTAAATCTCCCTTCTATAACTACAAATTCTTGTTTATTATTGTCATAAGCATAACCAAACACCTAAATTTAACAATGTTCATACTTGGTCTTACTTATTGTTTCTTAATTATTTTTATTATAACATTTTGTGATAATTCAAAAGATTGCTATGACGTCAAAATAGTCTCTTCATTTGACTGTATGATGTTTTTGTTCTTGTCCATGTTACCGTTGTTTTGCTGGTAATTCATATAATTTGTCCAATTCCAGTTAGGTAGGTCTAGTTTGGCATTTGGCAACAGGATAGTTGTACTATGACCTTCCACAAATAAATGTATTTTTTCTATTTGAAAATGGGACAACATATCTAGTGTCTTCTTGCTGTGCAGAACTGCACCAGTATAAATATGCTGCTGCTCCATCCATATTTTCATACTTTGAATACAAATGATAACTTTGACCCTTTTTCTGCATTTCAGTGCGCCATCAAATTAAAGCAAACACAGACTGACAGTGAAAATCTTTTTCCTGCTTCCAGCCTGCAAAAGCCAAAAACTACTCCAATACAAATCCTGCAGAGTTGTGCGAAGAAAGATGAGTCATCAGTTTGCCTGCATTTCATTTTGCGAGAGTGAATGAAAAATGGTATGGAACAAGAAAATTCACCATTGCTTGATTTGATTGTTTGTGTCTGATCACATTTTATTATTAGTTTACTGATTATTGGACTGTTTTAATTCCACTGCAACTAGTTATCGCTAAAAAAAGACTGTATGTGAGATTTACAAATCAATTTTTAAGCGTACGAGGACACACATTTGATTTCCTGAGTCTTAAAATTCACACAAAACATAAAAAAAACATTTGCAGCTTTTATTAGTAGCTTGATTGCCAAATATTTTAATACAATTTTTGTGATGGAAAATTCATTATCATGCTGTAATGGTAACAGTTTATAGGTATACTTTAAAGTTTTTCCATTTGCAGGTGCATTATCACACCGAGGTACTGACAGCACTAAGTAATAACACTAATATTCTCTCATGTTACAGATTATAAAGCCCTTTTTAATTTTGGGTAATATAAATAAAACTGACTTGGTGGTATCCTGAATGAAGCTGAATACAAACAGATGAGTGGTGCAGGAAAATATTCAGATCTTAAAGTTAAGCTGATGTGATTTTTATTGTGTAATATATTATTATTTAATCTATAACAATCCATCACATTCTGTAAGGAAGTCATATTTCTTTCATTCATCTGTTAAGTCACCAGTTTTCTGATTTTTTACAATCAATCAATTAACCGAGAAAAGAAATCAGATAAAACCACAGTAGTTAAAATCCAGATAGTTAAACATTAGCTCCCCTTCAACCAACTACATAAATTAATTCATGAGACATGGGGCCATTTTTCTGGATTGAGTACTTTTAACACTTTAAGAAGGTATTTCCTGAATATACCTACAAACTTTTACATAGGCAACAATTTAAATGCAGGAATTTTATTGTAACAGAGTGTTTTTACAGGAGGTATTAATAGTATACTTCTGACATTTTCACATTTCAGGTTCTATCTGCAGACATCTGTATACCACTGCATTAAACAACTGCCACCTAGTGACCGAACATAACAGGTACACACTTATAAATTATATCACTTAATTTAAGTCTCCTCTTAAAACGCAGTCTTTCCTCCCCATGATCCCTTTTCCAACCTTTTATACACCGTGGTTTTATGTTTTTTTTTTAAAAACTATTATCATTATTTTAGTTTTAGTATTAGTTTTACTTTGTTTTTTATTGTTTATTATATATAATAATATAATTATATATTGTCACTGGTGCTATGGTTTGTAGTGTTCTGTATTTTTTTTATTTTTTTTTGCTGTTTTTACCATGTAAATCACTTTGTAAACCCGATTTTGTATATTATTATTATTATTCTTATTATTATTATTATTATTATTTTATTATTATTAGTTTTATTTTAAGTTTTTACTGTTTATTCTACGTTATATATTACCGGTGCTATGGTTGTTTTTACCATGTGAAGGGGGAACCTTCCACAGCCCGTGTTGTGTTCAGGACGGGATTCTCTGCACGCCACGCAGTCACTCTCTGTGTGTCCCCTTGTTTTGTCTCCGACTGGAAACCCATGAATTGAGTTTCTCTTTGACAGCCGGTGCCGGTCCATTATCTGTCATTAAAGCGGGTCTGATCGGTGAAATGTCGGAGGCTTTGCTGCAGTGGTGTGTGGACCAGTTGCACCACAAGTTCGGGCTGGAGGCTTGTGAAGACATCGTCCGGTAAGAGACGGATAATCGGTCCGTTACCGTGCCAACGAGCTAACGATAGCTCGACGGTGACGTAACTGTGTTTAAGTTTATCAGAATAACATCAATTTAAGTTATTGGTGTTTGTTTCACTCACTGCTGTCAGATAAATAGGTGTGGGTTAAGCAGCTGCTGCAGGAGCAGGCAGATTGCAGGCTGAATATGTGACACATGTTTACATTATATCAATATTAATGTAACTATAATATCTATGTGTATACATGTAATATATCTGTTCAGTCATCATATTATATATACACATTATTATTATTA